ACAGCAGCAGCCATGAGGTGACCATGCTCTCCGCCTCATGCACCTCAACAATAATAAGAGCTCCCCGAAAATAAGGCCAAGTGCTTATTTTGGGAGTCAAAAGAAAATAAGACCCTGTCTTATTTTGGGGAAAACATGGTAGCATAAATAAAGTATATGGCACAGTGGTTACACCCGGGATAGCACAGTGGTTAGAGCGCAGAACTGCAGGCTACTTCTGTTGTCCGCCAGTTGCCTGCAATTTGGCAGTTCAAATATCAACTCAAGTTTCACTCACCCTTCCATTCTTCCGAGCTGGGTAAAATGAGGACCCAAACTGTTGGGTGCAATATGCTGACTCTGTAAACCAACTTAAGAGGGAGCTGTAAAGCACTGTAAAGTATGTCTAACTGCTATTGCCATAATCTGGAAAACCACTCATTTTAAGCTGCTATACCCCATATGTGTGGTTCCAGGCAGAGGTGAGTTGCCAATTTTTCTATTACCAGCTTGGGCACACTCCCGTGCGCTCACAATGCTTCTGCACATGTGCAGAAGCATCTGGGTGGGTGGGCAGAGCCTCCCGCCATCGTTAATACTGGTCCGCCCGATCCAGGGTGAACCAGGAACAAACCACCTCTGGTTCCAGGGTACCCAAACAAATGTTTCAGATGGACTCTTCCCACCACCACCCCGCCGCCATATTGAGAGACCTCATGTACCTACATACCTGAGATTGGTGAGAGAAAGGGAGATTACATGATTGCCATTTTCCTGCTGCCACACTCTCAGCTATTACATGACTAAAAAACAGAGGAAAAGGAGGTTGCTGGTAATTCTGGCACTGCTATTGACTGAAAGAGCCGAGGTGGCGCAGTGGTTAAATGCAGCACTGCAGGCTACTTCAGCTGACTGNGGTCTAGTGGATTTCTAGTAGAGCAAAACACAATCCCCTTTCCAGGGAATGCGAGAGAGGAGTATGCATATTATTGACTCATGGCTGACTCCAGTAAGGAAAACCAGGGTTTCCTTTCTTCCTTTCTTATAACCAGTCAGTGATTGCTCCAAGCACATTCCACATTACTTGAGTTACTTGAATTGTCTTTAGTTGGAGGATCTCGACAACATTCCTGTGAGATATTTTGATTCCTTGGGAAAGGAGCGTGCGCTTCTTGGGTGTTTCTTCCCCAGTCTATCCCTGTCTATCATGCTCCAGTTGGACACCACCTACATTATGCACAATTTTACGACTCTCTTAACTAATGATACGTAAGCTGCCTGCCTGGCAAAACTTCCCCTTTGGTAACCCCTTGGAGTAATAATTTCAGTTCAACCCACTATAAAATATTAAATAGAGATAACAGGGAAGAAGAGGACCTGAAGCTGCCAGAACGTGTTATGAAATTCTTTTTAAACTGTATGCTTTGCAATGTGTCAGCAGGTGGCAATACCTGGCTGGAACTTCTCGGCTCCAAAGCTAAGCCAAAACCAAACTTGGTTTGTACTTTGGAGACAAAACTCCAGGGATGTAGGTTAGCCTGGGAAGAAAACAGTGGCGATACTCCTTCAGTATCGTGGCTGAGAAATCTGAACGGCCGTGGCCATGAACTCACCGTGAGTGGCTTCCAGAACTCAGAAACTTCGCTTACTTATCTAAAACCAGAAAACAGCCATTCCGAACAGGAGGCTTGCCCAGCGTCTTTCCTGCAGATTTGTTTAAATCAGCTGCAGCTTGTTATAATCTCGAGTCCTCCGAAACATTTCCTACAAAGGGATTAATTTGGAACCGCTCCAAAGTAAGCTGTTTATAGGACTATAACCTTGGGATATGGGCAGGGCAGCTTGCTTGGAATGCACTACAATTTACAGGGCTCTCTTTTTTCAACCTCCAAATAAGGATGGGGATGGCTGCTGCAATTTTCCCACCAGTAAACTTGATCATCACCAATGATGATGTTGATGATAACACGAAACAGAAGGCAACAAATGAGGAAAAGCATTCCTGGAAGTCGGACTTCGCCGCAATCATCTCCACCGGGAGAGTCTGCCACAAAACAAGCTTCTCCCCCACCGTCCCATGCCTTTAGTTTATATTTCACAAGCTAAAATAGAAAACAAAAGTTTCTATCAGCCTCGGTAGGGCTGCCAAGGTTAGAAAAGTNCAACCACAATTTAGCCCAAAGGTTCTGTTGTTAAAGCGAGATATTGGTTAAGTGAATTTTGCTCTATTTTTAGACCTTCCTTACCACAGTTGTTAAGTGAATCACTGCAGTTAAGTTAGTCACACGGCTGTTAAGTGAATCTGGTTTCCCTATTGACCTTGCTTGTCAAGTCGCAAAAGGGGATCACGAGACCCCAGGAAACTGCAACCGTCACAACGATTGCCAAGTGTCTGAATTTTGATTACTTGACCATGGGGATAACTCCAATGGTCGTAAATGTGAAAAATGGTTACAACGGCATTTCAGTGCCGTTATAACTTTTAATGGTCACTAAATGGATGACTACCTGTAAGCCCTGGCCTCCCGCCTTGTGGAATGCAGCCCACAGTGTGTCTCCTGGTGTGGTCCTTGAGCCTATACGAATTCCATAAGCCTGGCTTAGTGTGTTGTGCAAACCAGTGGTGGGTTTCAAATTTTTTTAGAACCTCTTCTGTAGGTGTGGCATGCTTTGTGGGAGTGGCTTGCAGGCCATGTGACCGGGTAGGAGTGGCTTGGTAGTCATGTGACTGGGTGGGCATGGCCAACTTGTAAAATGTGGCGAAACTCACTTAACAACGCTCTTGCTTAGCAACCAAAATGTTGGCTCAGGAACTCTGACATTTGAAGCGTACAAGTCTTAAAGCTGTCAAGTTACAAGACCCTTGCACCCCTAACCCTTTAGGAAAAAACCCCAGGGGTGTTCAAACTTGTCAACTTTAAGATCTGTGGAATTCAACTCCCAGAATTCCTCCTCCAGTCATGTTGGCTCAGGAACTCTGGCATTGAAGTGTGCAAGTCTTAAAGCTGTCAAGTTACAAGACCGTTGCACCCCTCACCCTTTAGAAAAAAAAAACCCAGGGGAGTTCAAACTTGACAGCTTTAAGACTTGTGGACTTCAACTCCCAGAATTCCTCCTCTCACTCTTCATCTTGATGATGTGC